GGTGTTTATTTTGTTCGGATGCCTGTTTGGGAAGAATTTATTTGGTTTTGGCTTTTGTGGTGTGTGAGTGAGGCTGATGAATATGGAGGGAAAGGTGGAAAGGGACGAATCGCATGAGATGTGATGCATGGGCATGGGGAGGATATGGGATGATGAGGGAAGAATGAAAGGTGAAGGATAGCGGCAGGCGATCTCTAGCGAAGTGAAGGGCACGGAGTAGTGTGGAGATGTTCGGGTGATGTCGAGAAGTTTAATACGATGTGCTGTAAGGCGTAGAGGAATGATCAGCAGCTTAGAAGGGCGACTGACTGCATTCGTGCGAATCAGAAGAGAGAAGAGAGGGAGAGAGATAGGATGGATATACTGGACATGAAGGACAGAAAATGTAAAAGGGTTACAGAAAAGCATAAGGGTGGTATGGAAAATGGGACATAAACAAAAGCCAAAAAAAAAGTGAGTTTACTCGCTTAGTATCATCATGCGACAGGGGAGAGAGAGAGACGAGAAAGGTGGTTGGATGAAATATGCTTTATCATAATACCCTTTTTTTCTGCAAAGGAAAAACTTGTTTTTATTTGATTTGCTTTGTAAACCAGTACTATGAGGTTTGATATGATTTGATTTGATACGCTGCTTCTTTTTGAGTGCAGAAGGTGCATGATTATGTGCTGATGAATAGTGATGTATCATATCTGATTTCGAGGCATGTGCCGGTGAGAAGGGAAAAAGACGGCGGACGAGCAGCAGTGAGATGATGATGGGGGTGGTATTGTGCGGTTTTGATGGAGTTTGAAGTGAAGGTGGGAAATCCGAGGTCGGAATATCAGCACGCATTCGGCCAGGTTATAGTAATCATCAAAGCCCAAACAAATCAATAAAACAGAAAAGAGAAAAGAATGGGAGAGGGAAACAACCTTGGCGGGTTGCATGTATGTAAAGTTGTAGTGTAGCCGAGTCCGAGCCATTGGCGCAAAAAAAGCAGGGCGAAAGATTGACATATCCCGGGGGTGTGTGTCTAGAGCGACAAGTATGTACATTGTAGTAGTTCTATTGCTTGTAAGTTGAATGATGAAGGTGAGCGAGCATCTCGTTACCGAATGCCTGGATGCATGCTGACTGACTCTCTCCTCATGCCTTGCCTTGCCTTGCATGGTATGACTTGGGGAGAAGGATGACGAGGAGCGGGTTGGAGGACATGCTGTCGGAAGAAGTTGGCATGAATTAGAACTGTCGATCATGACTGTTTACTTTTGTCTTCCTCTGAACGGATTGATTTTGTCTTCTGTAACCACCAAGGAAAATGAAGAGCCAAGGTAGCATGCTGTGTATTGCGGCGTGAATCAGTCAAGAATAAGAGCAGCTGAAAGTCTATGCAGGGTTCTGCCTCTGTAGTAGAAGCATTGAAGTTTGACAGGATCCTCGGGCCTTTGGTGAGCGGGTATTGCGGGCATTGCGGGCATTACGGACAGAGACAAAACAGGCCTCGAAATCACCGCACATTCGCAAGCAGAAACAAGTAATAATCAAAAATAGACATTATCCAGCGAACGGCCCTGTTCCTGTCAGTTCAGACAGACAATGTATTTAGCTTCAATTAACTAATAAAGGAACCGAGAGCAACACAGCCGAGCAAGGGAGGGGGCGTGTCTTGAAGGGAACCTAAGAAAAAGAAGTAGTAGAAGCTTAGCGGACGAAGAAGAAGTAGAAGCGGACGAAAGAGAAGCAGAAGCGGACGGAATAGAAGCAGAACAAGACACACCAGGCTGGCCCCAAAGTAGCGGAGCCGTCTCCGAGAAAACTCGCCCTGGGGCGACCCGACAGGGCTGGGGCGGGAAACGGTATAAGCCATCATCTTTCTTATTAGGTCGCTTTGGCTAGTGGTGAGAGCAGCAGCATTTTGAACCAAGGTGTGTTTTCCGTCGTTCGATTTCCGTCGAATTTGGAATCTAGGATAGAAAAGTGCGTAAGCACTTCGTCGCCGACAAATTAAAAATCCCCATCGTCAAATAATACATACATATCCTATGTATGTTGGTAAGGCAAATGCATGCAAGTATGTAGACGGAAGGCGCGCGGCTAGGGAAAAAGCAGTGGGAGCCTTGGCCAGCAGGATATCAATACAGCTTCAGCGTGATGGAGCCGGTTTCCGTACAGTCCAGATGCCGATGCCCGACGGAGTGCTGATGATGGACCGGAGAGGCCGTATTACCCCATTTCTACCAGTCACTTTCCTTCGTCCAACAGGTTGGTTGGCTAAGAAACTCGTTAGCAGACGCAAGTTACATGGGACTACTAGCAGCAGGGACTAGTAGTAGCAGCAGCGGTTCCTGTTCCAGACCAGCGGCACCTTTGACAGGCCGGTTGACAAGAAACAGGTTGATCCGCGGCCATGGTACCACAGGGCAAGCCGCTCAGCTGACTGGCGTCGAACATGTCCCCAAATTCCATGGACCGGGGGGGGCAAGGGGGGAGCATGTTGCCAAAATTGGCGTCACAGATGCCCTCTTCGGCACAGCTTCTGTACAATAGTAGTCCTCCGTATGCCTGGCTTGAAGCCAGTATGCTATTCCTAGCTCCCCCGTATGGTACTTGTCTGTCAAATATTATTGACTGTCGAATATGCAGTGTCATGTTGATCCATGCAATCCTTGGTGCCAGCTCTCAAGACTGCATGATTCTTGTGCCAACAGCCTAATGTGTGATGGGTGACCCCAAGAACAAGAACAAGCAGCCCGGTTGCTTGGCTGATGGCGTCGAGGGGAAGCGCTAGGTAGGGTTAGATTGGCCTTTGGCTTTGTGGCTGAATGGGCTCGGGTGCGTCTCGTGGCAGACAAAGATTGAGCCGCGTAGTAGCACGCCGGCAGCCAAAGCGACCAAGATAAGAATCACATCGAGCAAATCCAACTGCCACAAGTGCTGCTTGCAAGAGCGACGCTAACTGCTGGCTGGACTCTTTCCTTGTCCCTACCTCTCCGTGCTGTGTCCATCCATGTAAGTGAGTCAATAGGTGCATCGGTTAGCTGGGCAGAAGGGGGGCCAAATGTGTCAAATATAATAATAAGCCTGCATTGCATGTGTGTGCGTGTGTGAAGGTGTGTGTGATGGTGATGAGAGGGAGATGCCACTTGTTCACACGCTGTAGGGCAAAGCTGAATGTCACTAAACGACACCCACCCGATGCCATCTGCTCGCGAGCAACTTGGTGGGCGGCTCGAGGAAGCACATTGGCACACCAAAGCCAAGGTGCCGCGGATAGAAGAGTTCTGGAAGTGATGAGGCAGCACAGTTCCCGAGCACCACGTGGCGGAGGCTATTAGAAGGGTGGTGAAGAAGGCAACGAAGAATCGCGCCATGGCTCTCTGGTTGGCAGAAATAAAAGCTGGCTTGGTGTGGACGCCAAATTCCTTTGGTGGTCTGCCATTCTCACCGATGGCCGTCGGATGTGATTGGCGCCGGCTTGATCCTTCGCCAACGTTCCAACAACGGCCAACAGGCACTGGGTGGTGTGCTCGTCAAAGGGGGGGAGGGGGACACTTCCAGGTGACTCGCGCGTGGTACTGTCACTGTTTCCTCCTCCGTTGGTAGCGGCAGTTGTTGCAATGGGAGTGGTGGAAGAACTGGCCCTCATCCATAATGAAATGCAAAAGTCGGCAACGGCAGATGCTCATTCTGGTCCATTGAGCCGAACGCTGTTGGTCCCGCCTACGCCGGCTGGCCCTCGATCTTCATTAGGGCTGAGATGAACATGAGGAGGATTTGCCAAAGCCAGCATACCGTCCGCAGGGCTGGCAGCGCGACCATTCTCCTAGCGGCAGCAGTAAATTGCCCTTGGCATCGGGCTGCAGCGACTCCTCCCGGATGCCATTTCCCTTGGGTGCTGTGGCTCACTTGAGTGGCTCGCCCATTGCCCACTTCATTTCCGCAGTGTTACTGACTTTCTGGGGAGTGTCGGGCGACGCAAAGAATGAGGCTGTCAGCCGTTCTCGTCCCCATCCGCACTCTTTCAGCCGGCATCATGTGGTAACGCAGCCGTTCAGAGGGAGGCAATTCTGCCCAGGACCAAGGGGGGCTGGGGTCACGCCCGAGGACTGGCTGCCAAGCACTCTTTACCTCTGGTTCTTCTTTGTTGTCTTTCCTCTTCTCTCTTCGCTTGCTTGCTGGTCGTAGTAGTACTCGTATATCAATTCTCACAAACGGAGACGGCGTCAGCGACAAGTGGGCAGAGGGGCCGTGCGCCGCGTTGACGGATCGAGGGCATCCATGAAGCTGGGCCATGGCGATTGGGTTCTATGGTCATCATTACTCCGAAATCCGATTCCCCAGCTCGTCACGCGTGCTGCTAGTCCCTTCCTCATGGGGCCCGAAGCAGACTGTGAAGAGTACGGGGTACAGCCCTCACTCCTGTGTCGCAAGTCAGTCAATGGCTGTGGAGGGAGGAAAGGGGGACGAAGACGGAGCAAATGCGCAACCAAACAGAGCAGCAAGCAAGCCACGTTGGGCCAATATAAACAGAAAAGCAAACACCAAAGCCAGCCGCAAACGATGGAACGAAGGCGGGAAGCGACGGCCTTGACCGAGGAATGAGAGATGGGCCCGGAGAGCGGCGATGCCGGGACGGGGTATCATGGCCTGTAAGGTAAAGGCCCTGCTTGTTTGCCCAGGCCTGAACCAGGCCATGGCCGCACGCCGCTGCCGCTGTCTAGCCTGATAGCCTGGGTGAAGCTTTCGGTGAGGCAGGGCTGGCCACCGGTGGGCTCGTGCGCGTGGACCGGGTGCAAGCAAAAGCAGCAAGGCCGTGAGTTCCGTATCTTCTGTTGAAGAAAAAGGAAGAATGATAACCGTGATAGCCGCCATCAACCACAGTCGGGCAGACGAGGACTCGCATGCACTCTGTGCTGACTTGAATGATCCACACGAGTCCAGGCACAAGTCAGGGACCGCGGTATCAAATCCGTTCGAGTCATCATATCGAGAGGATACCTAGACTAGAGGGCAATCAATCAAGCGATCCAGCAATCACTCCGTCAATCAATCAATCTGTGTCACCAGCCAGGATCGGCAGCCCAATTCCCCACGCGCAGCCAGGAGCAGAACGGAAGAGGAGGAGACTGGAGGCAGCCCAGACGAGCCGCTGATTGCTTCTGGCCGCCTCTTTTGCTGTCCACCGTCTGCCGTCTCTTCGAGCTTGGCGTGATGCCGCATGGAGCAGGAGCCGAAGCTTGGAGAAATCCTACGGAGAGCATGTCGAGCCTCGGAGCCGAGCTGGGTCGATGTGAGCAAAACAATTGCCTTATTCAACCCAGCGTCGTATTGGGTGATGAAAGGGTGGGTGGTGGCGACCGTGAAGCTGCTGGTCCGAGTGTTGAGAATGTTCTGTTTTGGTGGATGGTGTCTCGAGGCTGCACGCACTTCAGCCTCCTTCGTTCAGCGCATCAACGGCACCGGGTCTCGAGCTGAGCTGAACCCGCCAGGCTGAAAACTCTTCTGTCGCATGGACCCTCTGTTTATATTTATTCTTGGCCCGAGGTGACCTCAAGGCACAGACGAGCGCCTCTTTTGAATCACCGACTGCTTGAGCGAAGAGACCCATCCAGTCCGCAGAATGCTGTCTCAGAGGGAGAAGAAACAGCGCGGGCCCATCATTCATCACTTTCATTTGTCCTTGGTGCTGCCTGGCGATCTGCAGTTCGCGGCATTATGTATGAGGCCCCTTGTTGGCAATTACTCCGTAACTGCAGGTATTCCCTGGAAAAGACGAGGGCGGCATTCGCTCCCAGACAGACAGTAAAATGCCGTCCACTTCGAGCTGCACCTCCACCGTCCTGCGTGCTAGTATTCTCCTCGTTTGCTTCAGCCTTGTGCGACCGAGCGGTATCAGTTTGATTGCTCGTCAGTCGACCTCCGGTAGTTGTGCCACCACCCAGCAGCAGCTGAGGTGACGGAAATGCATGCGTGTCCACCATAGATGCAACCCAAGTCCGAATAGTATATTGTATGTGCTGCCGGCGCTCGCTGTCCCAGCAGATGGCGACCACTGCTCCAATGCTTGTAGGCAATCAAAGCCTGGTGGACCGTCCCTTCGCGCCCCGAGTTTTGGCGTCATCCTGCCCCGTGCCTGTGCCTGTTCAGCCTGGTCGGCGAGTAAGTCCAGGTAGTATTTGCGTGATCGGCCTAGCCGGTTTCCATGACGTTTGATAGTCGGCACATTCACACATACGAGGCAGTCCGTCATGCCGCGGGTCTGGCCTCTCCACCGGCAATTTGTCTCAAGCCTATCTTCACACGACGATACGAGTCGTATATGGAGCACGGCTGCTACAAGTATGTACCGCGAGTAGTGATAGCCCCCCGCCGTATTGATGTCGGAGCGAGCGGGAGCTCTTGATCACCAGAAGCCGAGTCGAAGGGCAACTCGAATCAAATCAAATGCCCGTGGTATCTTGTGCTTTGCCGGCATTTGGCTGCAGGCATTGCTGGGCTGTGGCTGTTCACTTCTTTTCTTGGGGATTGCGCTAGCTGGGTTCATGAGCAGTGGCATGCCGCCAAGCGTCAGCACTTGAGGCGTTGCTTGTCATATTCTTGGGACGGTCTGGGCGGCAATTCTGGACAAGCCATCGTGGAGGATCTGCTCTGCCTATTTTTGCGCAGGAATGGTGGCTGATGCCTGCTTTTCGTCGTCGGCATTGCATCGCAGCGCATCGCATCGCATCGCATAGCCATCGAGGACACAGTTGTCGCATGATCTTCATGGCTTGGAATAGATAGATGGAAGAGGTGGATATAGATAGACACAAGTGGGTAGTCGTAGAGCCTTATCTCGCAGCTGTAGATTCCATGGATTCATGAGGTTCGGTTTGGGTTTGGCTTGGGGTTGGATTCGCGTCTGGGTCGAGTGCCTTCCTTACCTTATCTTCAGGCCTCGTACCTGCAGATGTCGGCACAGGTACTGAGTACCAATCCCGCGTGCTGTCTGCCCAGCCCCAGAGGCACGTGTTTGCCTGCCGCGGCCACAATCACGACGAACCCCGGTACCTATTGATATCGTACCAAGCGGTAGCGCTAGACAGCTTCCGCGGCCCTCTACCACGAAATAGCATGTACGCCCACACTTTGGCTTTTGCAGAGATTCCTCATCGCTCCCACCTCGCCCGACTGCGATCCAGCCGCCATTCTTCTGCGTACTTTTGTTATTTGTTAGGTATTCAACCCGCCATTAGGCCAGTCCTCCTCCAATGGATCGCTGGTCTAGGACGCCGTGAACAGCAATTGCCGCCGTCCGATTGGCCCGGCCGCCCATCGCAGACCCTCCTCCGAAATGTCTCGCCTTTCCCTTCCAGAAGGACGGCAGAAGCCATCTGCCAGGGGTCTGGCCAGCCCGTCTCCCGCATCCATGGCAATCTGCAGGGGGCCCATGAGCTGGTAATTTACGACGGGCCCCTGCCAGGTCAGGCGACGAGGCTGCGAGCGCTGTGGTTGGCCGTGGCCTCTCCGGACGGGGGCGCCCTTTGACTTCGACAGCGGACAAGCCATCGTCCTGGTCCCACTCCACCATCGAATCTCTTGCTCGATTGCTCGCGACCGTTGCCCTCCCAGAGGCGACGTGCGTTTCAGGACGAACATGGGGGCCGCTGTGAGAAATGACACTGTTCCTGAAACGGGGCGTGGTGCGTGGTGCTGGACAGGGGAATGCGTGCCACCAATTCGTCGGATTCCACGACTCGACCGCGTGCTGGGCGAGGGAAAAGGATTTGGGATTAGGGGGGGCGCATTCATGCTTTCACAAGGGTTCCCAAGAGTTAGGTCCCAGATGCGGCCCTACCACACGAAAAGCCGTCCACAGCAGCATCAACAGCAGCGCCCCGAGCGAAGCCAGTGGCGCTTGGTTGCACTGGACTGGACGCTGCCTGGGCTTGCGCCTTGGTGTGCTTTTCTCCGACAAGATCTTCTAGAAGCCTTCCCCGGCTTTTCCACCGTTTCCTCCCCTCACCACTTTGTCCTCTCTCCCCTTGCCTGGCCCTGGCGATTGTGCATCTCCTCTCCTCTGTCGCTCCTTCACCCGCCTCTGGCCTCACTTGTCTCAGAGCGACCGGAAGACGTCCTCTTTGTGCCCGGCAGCATCCAGGCGGTTTTGCAGGCGACCCAGCGACTCCAGCTGTAGCCGTCCGTACATGCAACTTTGGATCGATTCCTTCGATTGAGGACGTGCTCACCGATTAATAGCTCTCGTCGGCCGCGAGTGGGACGCGAAAGCCGAGACTGAACAGGATATCTTCTCTTCACGCTCACACCAGCGACGTATCGGGCGCTTCTCCTCGTGTCTCGATTTCTTCTCTCTTTTTCTGTTTACTTCCCCTTCCCCTCTCCTTCATTCTTCCAGGCCAAAATTCCGCCGCCGCATTGCGCGGCAATTATGCAATTTTGACGACGAGTAGCGGTGCCGAGTTGCTCGCTCTCGTGTCATTTGTGCGGATAGAGCAGCAAAAATCGCGTTGCTCTCTTTGACGTGTCCGTGGGTAGCGACTTTTGTCCACTACCGATACCACCGTTGTGGCTGCTTGCGATAGCTGGTGCGCGCAGATTGATCGATTTTCATCACGAGGCCGAACGCGGTTAATCATCAAATCAACAACTCCCCCCTCACATCATGTTCCCGTACGGTGCCGCGCCGGACGAGTCCACCGTGCGTCCGTTGACGGATGAGGACCAGCAGTTGCTCATCTCACTCGTGCAAAAATACGGGACATCGAGTCTTCTCTTTGCCTTGACGGGCTATGGCGAACCATGTGGGTGACTCAAAAATCCCCAACCCGCGTGCCTCAAACTTTGCATCTGACACAGCCTAGCTCGAGCGTCTGCGTTCTCTGCAAACACCCTCCTCAGCAGTGCGAGCGCGTCTTCAATAGCATGGACTAACTCAGAGGTCGCATCACAAGCCCGGTCGGATGAAGCGTCCATCCACACCGCCTACACATGGCCCGAAGTTCAGAACGACCTGCCGGCGGTGCACGATGGAGAGGCTAACAAGGTGTCTGATCGCTCATGGCTCGACTCGCCCGTAGCCGTGCCCTCGCCGATGATTCAGTCTCACGACGTCACGTCACACCCCTCTCCGCGGCTTGTGACGCCCACGTCCAAGAAGTACCAGTGCCCGATGTGCTATCTGGACAACAGCCCTGTCGGATTCGGCAGAAAGAGTGATTTCAAGAAGCACCTGCACAACTTTCACGGAGCCGACGTCGTCTGGATCTGCCGGACCAAGGGTTGCCACATGTCCTTCTCGACCGAGCGTGCCTATAGCACCCATGCCAAGGAGGCTCACCGAATGAAGGCTCTCCCCAACAGCGCTGCCCGGACGGAAATGTGCCCACAGCTCGTCTTCGCCTGTGGTTTCGGCACCTGTCGCGACCGGCTATTCGAAGCCCACGGCGCGGAGGACGCCTCCGCAACGCGCGACAAGCACTTTGAGCACATTGCCAAGCATTTCGAAGATGGATTCGACGTCAGCAACTGGGAGTATCGCGTTCAGATGCAGAACCTCATGCGCCAGAAACAGGTCAAGCAAATCTGGAAGACGTGCATTTGGCCCAAGGAGAAACGACAGCAGCTTCACTGGCGGTCGAGGTCCTCGGGCGACTTGAAGCGCATGCTCGAGTGCCGCCACCTCGGCAGCAACATCTCCAGTCTCGTCAGATTGGCCTTTATCCTCGGAACCGCTCCGTTCACGACCGCCTCTACCCCGCCGCCCAACGAGATTGACATTTACTTCCAGCTTCCGTACCGCAGCCAGTGCCTGCTAGAGTCCTCCGGGCATGCATCCCTGGCAAGCACCCTGAAGGTGGACGAGGGTTCGCCCACGCCGAGTCTTCCCAAGAGCCGCTCGGGCATCACCAGCATTCCCCAAACCATGCTCAAGTTCTCTGGCCGCTCATTGAAGAAGGGCACTCGGCCATCAACACCTGCCAGTGTCTTGAGCAATGGCGCCGACACAATCATGGGAGACGACTCGGCGGCTGGCCCGCATCCCGGCACGCCGTTCCCTATCCCCAACGAGACTGTGTGGCCGGCAGACGCGCCGACGTTTGCTCCCGATATCCCAACCTCGATGCCAAAGTCGATGAACAGCCCTGCTGGCACACCGCTCTTTGACCCTCAGCAGCAGCAGCCGCAGCATCAGCAATTGCAGCAGCACTTGCCCCCCCAGCACCAGATCCCGCACCCGCAACTGCAGGAGCAGGAGCAGCAGCAGCTGATGTATTCCATGCCGCCACACGATGCATCACAAGAAGCATGGATGGTGATGAACCAGCAGATGCCCGCATATCAGGCGCCGCCGCAGGTATTCCAGGAGCAGGCGGACATGATGAATGGACTATACGACTACTCGATGAATACCAGCCAGGCTTCTACGGTGAGGCCCGGGACGCCAACTCCCAACAAACGACCGGCACCGTGGAATCGAATGATTAGCATGGAGAACCTCCGACCGTCCAAGAAGTCGACGCCCGATACGCCGCCAGGGATGATTATGGGCATGTGAGCGCGGCGTGGGATCTTGTACCATTCGGCCTTCCGAGAGGACCATCTTTTCCCTCGGATTTTTCTTTCTTCACCGCCAGCAGCATTCGACGGACGCTCTGCTAGCGAACTGCTCCGCTCCTTTCTCGATCCTTGTGTGTCATACATATATCCCTTGTCGCGATTGATTTCATGTATTCTCGAACATATACCACTACTTATACCAAACGGACCGGGACGGCAATGTACGTGTAATTGGGGGAAAACCGATCTGGGGGGAGGGGCATGGGGAAGGCATTCCATTTTTGTCAGTTGGCTGACTCTGAGATACCATTTTCTTTTCTTTGCTTTTCGTTTGCTTTATTTGCTTGCTGTCATGTGATGAACCGGCGCCGTTCATGAATCACAACACATATAGACGGGGTAGGGATATGGTCATTCTGTGGCATTTATGTGGAGCGTTGTGCTTTTTACACATGTTACGTTGTATTCAATGAGGAGAGAGGAAGAAAAAGAAGAAAGTTGGCAGCAAAGAAGACCAAGATGTACATGAATTGGTATATAGTGATTGATGTCTAGGTGAAATATCATGACATTTTCGCAAGTTGGGAGTTTGGTGCAATCGATATTGATATCGCCTGTGGTTTCGAATTTTGAATCACTTCTCGTTCGTTCAGTCTTATTACATGTAATGCTGCGTCTTGTAGCTTATAAAGGGCGGATCATGGCCCAGTGATATGACGTGAAAGAATAACGTCATGTCCATTTAACGCGCATGTCCGTATCATGTAGTAGTAGTATTATTCTGCTTCTTTTTTTTCTTAGGTACGGAGGACGGGGATGGGGGATTTGCAGCACAACAGGGATGTCTGAGGGAGCGTATCGGGCCGTCAGCTTACCTACCCGCCTTTTGGGGACTCTGATCCACCTTGCATTTTTCACATGCAGGGCGAGTAAGTGAGATGAGCGAGTGAGTGAATCGGACTGGTGAAGAAGAAAGTGGCGGACGGGGGGGAAGTCGGTGAGAGGTCCAAGGGAATGGGATATACACACATAAGTTGTTAGTAGGAACTTACCATGGTGATTGCGTGCTGTTGAAGTGAGACATTGAGAGGTGATGGACGCCCACCAGGATTGTGGCACAGGGGGGGCAACATGAAGTTTTTTTGTTTTGGCGGTGTTTGTCTTGCGGCTGAAGTGAGGGGCGGATCTCATACTAGTATTTGCAGAACGCATCTCAGGCAACGAGTAAGGTGTCAAAGAATTCGCAGGCAAGGGGTGGTGGTGGCCAGAAGGGCAAAATGCCGTAAGATTGTGTCGCTCTATAGTTGTATTACATGTACCAACAAGGTTCATGTTGATCTGGGGCGGCATATTACTGTGAGGGAAATGGTGCTTGCTGAGTGAGTGAATGAATGAAGTGGGCTTTTGCATCCTCTGAGCCGTTGAAAGGAGCATGCAGAAGACCATGGGGAATTGTGGCATAGTAGCAGGTGATTCTAACCGAGACGGATGCAAGAAAAGAAGGTTATTAGGTAGGGAGAAGGAGATGGGTGGTGACACTGCAGTTGAATGGGCCCCCTCGTTTTCTTTCCTTTTCTCCTTGTGGGTGGTGCGACTTGCGTGAAGAGGCGTCGTTGGCGTCTTCTCGGTGAACGGCTGAATTTACAGGGGCAAGGGCTGGAATTGCTTGTGTGTTTGGTTTGTGGATTGTATAGAGGGCTTGATTTGGAGTGATCCCATGCGGTATGATATTGAATGATGCGGGAGAAGTGGTCGAGTGTGACGACGTGGTGAGGGCGACTTATACGAAGTCTGCCTCTTCTTGCGTCTACTATCCTAGGGAGTTCAAAGGTCTGGTGCTGGTTACTCAAGTAGTCTACAAACAAACGGACCAATTTCATCAATGACGAGACAAAACAAAATTGTCATTCAATCTCCTTGATTGGTCCATGTCATCACGCAGTGCAAGCTCTGGTTACGATACTCCGCGGTCCGTTGCGCGGATCCGTCTTGAGACGACAAGACAAGCGGGAGGAAGTGGCTGCAGCCCGCGCACTCAGACCTCCCCGGGTAGTACTAGTAGTAGACGCATCTGCTGTAATTGATGAGGTGGACAATGCCAGGTAGGATGGCATTAGCCCTTCCCCCAGCCTGCATGCCATGGCTAGTACAGTAATAATGGCTGGAGGTAGGCAGACCGTAGCGCAGCGAATAATGAGCGCCACCGGAGGCCGCGAGTGACATGTGCTTGTTCGAAGCCATTCCGGGAATAAAGGCATGGCCGTAGGTGTAGACCTTTTGTGAGTCAACGTGGTTTTCCGACTTGCTGCTCCGGATATCGCAGTTGGTAATTCGGCTAAAGTCAAGGGATATGAGATCTGCTTTCGACCATAAGAACCAGAGGCGATCAAGTATTGTATCAATAGCTGGACCGGCAGGCAAAGAGGCCTGAAATGGGTATCACTGCGTTTGGGTGCACGTTGCTTCGCACACGCAAGGGGGAAACGTAAGCCATGAGAGACGGTTTCCGCAGAACCATGGATGTGGTGCACTATGGCTATGTCATTAGACAGCACGAGACCATACAGACTCGGAGTCGCATGGAAGCAGGGCGCTGGACTCGATGTCATTCAAGCGGTACCCGTCCTGGTCACCAGCCAAGGTCGAGGCCCAGCAGCCCGCGGCGCGAGACAACCTTGGCCGGAGGAGCCCGCAGGTACCTGCCAAAGCGCTGCTGGTACCCGATGGGATGCCCTGTGGGATGCCCTGTGGGATGATGAGATGAGGTGCCCTGGGGGAGGCAGCAGTTGCCCCAGCCCCGCACTTTTGGGCGCGCGCGGGGCTGCTGATTGGCTGGTTGCCACGGGCTGGCGGTCCCTGAACCTGCTGCCATCCGAACTCTGTCTGCGCTGGCGTCTGATGCGCCCAATGGGAGGCGACGCCATTCAGGGTAGGAAAAGGTGACAGGAGAAGAGAATCGAACAAAACAGCATGTTGGATGGCAAAAGCAAAGAAGGGAAGAAAAAAATCGTTACCCCACAATCAGGCACAGTAAGGCACAGTACGGACAAGGTGGCCGCGGTACTGCTCGACCCGGTCCCTCGCCGGCGTCACACGTGCGACAGGCTACCCGGCGGCAGGTCGCTGTTGCGCTGCTTTATTACTGTGCTGCTGCAGTATTAGTAGATCTGCCCGGCATCGCCCTTGGACACGACCCGGACAGGACCCTCTGACTCTAGGCCGGGCCGGGCTTGGTGACTTTTTTCCGATTCGAATCATCGCCTGGCTATTTCTCTTCTTTCTCCATCCTGCTCCTGGTTCTGCAATTCTTCTTCGCCACTCCTCCCTCCCCCCCGCGATACCCTCGAATTCGTCGAAGAGAAAAGAGAGAAAGAGACAGCAGAGACGTCAATCGCTCACGTGCTGCATCTCTGCACACTCTCGAGTTTTTTATTCTCCGACCCTCCCTCAAATCTTCTTCGTTGACAGGCCAAGGCTTGCTTCGACTCTCTCTCTTTCTCTGAATTTTTCTACTTGACCTTTTCCTTTGTTGCGTGTTACCCACCATAGCTCGATTCAACGATGCTCCGAAGTCGCCAAGCAACCACCAGGGCCGTCCGGGCTCTGGGCCAGGCGCGTGCCTTTACCTCGACGACGAAGCCTGTCATGATCCAGAGCGGCCAGAGGAAACAGGCGAATGCCAGCGCTGCTCCGTAAGCCCCCCCCTTCATTGACATTGCATTTCCTGTCTGCTCTTTGTTTTTTCACTACCTCTGCTGCACATGTGGCGTCTTCTCTCGGTTATGCGTGTCAAGGACCAGGTGTTCTTGCATCGTGGTTTGCATCGCCGATGACCGGGGGACGAAATTTTGGCTGCCCACCTCGCGCGCATTCTGGTTCTTCGTTCTACAATCTGGAGTGACACTGGCTAACGTTATGACAATTGGCGATCCCTTCATACAGACAAGTCCGCCCTGTACCGAGCCCTGCTTTCAACGCTGAAACCAAGGACCGCAGCCATGTGCAGCCTCTGGTCAACCCGTCGAAGCCTGACATGGATGAATCGTATGTCCACCCCCGTTCCGCCCTACGAAATGCACACGTATACCCAAAGGCCGCGACAAACGACACTTTTACAGACCAATTGAGCTTATTCTGACACATTTTTCTCTCCCCCAGATTCATTGGCAAAACTGGAGGCGAAATCTTCCACGAGATGATGCTGCGACAGGGTGTCAAGCACATTTGTAGGTTCCGATGCCGGCCGCCCACACAGGCTCCATCTGCTCCATCCCTCCAGCTAGGCAAATCTCGCTAACCTGAGTCACCATGCAGTCGGATACCCTGGCGGCGCTATCCTGCCCGTCTTCGACGCCATTTACAACTCAAAACACTTCGACTTCATCCTGCCCCGTCATGAGCAGGGCGCCGGCCATATGGCCGAGGGCTATGCCCGTGCCTCGGGCAAACCCGGTGTCGTCCTGGTGACTTCCGGACCCGGTGCCACCAATGTCATCACGCCCATGCAGGATGCCCTGTCGGACGGAACGCCCTTGGTTGTCTTCTGCGGCCAGGTCCCCACCACGGCCATCGGCAGCGACGCCTTCCAAGAGGCCGACGTCGTGGGCATCTCGCGGGCCTGCACCAAGTGGAATGTCATGGTCAAGAGCGTTGCTGAGCTGCCGCGGAGAATCAACGAGGCGTTCGAGATTGCCACCAGCGGCCGTCCTGGCCCCGTCCTCGTCGACCTGCCCAAGGACGTCACGGCCGGTATCCTGAGGAGAGCCATCCCTACGGAGACTGCTCTGCCGTCTCTGCCCAGTGCCGCTTCCCGCGCCGCCATGGAGCTGAGCTCAAAACAGCTCAATGCCTCCATCAAGCGCGCCGCCGACCTCATCAACATCGCCAAGAAGCCCGTCATCTACGCCGGTCAGGGTGTCATCCAGTCCGAGGGCGGCGTTGAGCTCCTGAAGCAGCTGGCGGACAAGGCCTCCATCCCGGTCACCACCACCCTCCACGGCCTGGGCGCCTTTGACGAGCTGGACGAGAAGTCGCTGCACATGCTGGGCATGCACGGCTCAGCGTACGCCAACATGGCCATGCAGCAGGCCGACCTCATCATCGCCCTCGGCAGCCGATTCGACGACCGTGTTACTCTCAACGTTTCCAAGTTTGCTCCCGCAGCCAGGCAAGCTGCTGCTGAGGGCCGCGGTGGCATCATCCACTTTGAGATCATGCCCAAGAACATCAACAAGGTCATCCAGGCGACCGAGGCCGTGGAGGGCGATGTCGCCACCAACCTGAAGCACCTGATCCCTCAGGTTTCTGAAAAGTCCATGGCGGACCGCGGGGAGTGGTTCGGTCTCATCAATGAGTGGAAAAAGAAGTGGCCCCTGTCCAACTACCAGCGAGCGGAGCGGGCTGGCCTCATCAAGCCGCAGACGGTCATGGAGGAGATCAGCAACCTGACGGCCAACCGAAAGGACAAGACGTACATTGCCACGGGTGTCGGCCAGCACCAGATGTGGGTTGCCCAGCACTTCCGCTGGAGGCACCCTCGCTCCATGATTACCTCTGGTGGCCTGGGCACCATGGGCTACGGTCTCCCCGCGGCCATTGGCGCCAAGGTGGCTCAGCCCGACGCTCTGGTCATCGACGTCGATGGCGATGCCTCGTTCAACATGACGCTGACGGAGCTGTCGACTGCTGCGCAGTTCAACATTGGCGTCAAGGTGGTTGTGCTCAACAACGAGGAGCAGGGCATGGTGACGCAGTGGCAGAACCTCTTTTACGAGGACCGATATGCGCACACGCACCAGAAGAACCCTGACTTTATGAAGCTGGCCGACGCCATGGGCGTGCAGCACCAGCGCGTGACGGAGCCGGAGAAGCTGGTGGATGCCCTGACGTGGCTCATCAACACCGATGGCCCGGCCCTCCTGGAGGTTGTCACTGACAAGAAGGTGCCTGTCCTGCCCATGGTGCCTGCTGGATCAGCCCTGCACGAGTTCCTCGTCTTTGAACCTGGTGAGTCCTATTGAAGCAAGGGTTTTGCCCGCGTACTATGAATATGTACTAACAATTTCACAGAAAAGGATAAGCAGCGCCGTGAGCTGATGAAGGAGAGAACAAAGGGTGTGCATTCCTAAGCGATGATGTCTGTCGGAGGGGTGTACATTTCCGTTCTGCCCTGTTTCAGTTCATATCTTACCCTTTTTATTCCCCTTTGGGCCTTTCTATTTTGTGATATTTGCACACGATGTCGGGTTGGAGTTTATTTTTGTTTTTGTCATTTACTGGTACCCATTGGCGCGAGACCAGGTTTCAATGTCGTTTTGCGGTTTCAAAAGTACTTTGCAGTGAACGTTTTGGGGCAAGACGAAGGGGAGCAGCCTCTTGTGTCAAAAAAGGTGGCTGGATGAACAAGACGGGGTGAAGATAGATACCTGGAGTGTTGACGCGATGGGATGGGCCTGAGGAATCAAAAGACAATTCTTGCCCGCCTTTACAGATGATGTGTTGACTGGGTGATGAATGCATCATGACGAGGAGACATGTGGAGGAAAGTCTATGGTGATGAACGACGTTTGATCCGGACAGGAGCCCTTGTATGTATATGCGTCTCAAGAAATTGCCCAGGATAAGCGTAAATTTAAAGCTGCATGATGTCAACGAATGACCTCGGCCGTGTTCAACACTGTCCACCGTGTATGATGTATGTAGTAGTACCTAGCAGTATCCAATTACCCCAGACCCGGACTGGCCAGTCAGCCTCACTTATCCCAGGGCGTGGGCTAACTGGTCAATAGCACCTTGGAATGGGTGGTATTGGGATCGCCCGGTTTTCACGGTTCCCCGCCCTCTTTTCCTAAAGACTTTGCACGGCTTCTGTAAGAAAAACACTTCTTGAAGAGACATAACATCATCTACTCATATACCTGATTTCCTTGCTTGGAAGTTTGAAAATCTGAAAGCGAGCGTTGCAGGGGAAGAAGAAGAAGAAGAAGAAGAAAACGAGTGTTTATTGATATTGGGTTAATGGTATTCCGATGAGCGAGGGCGACGAGAGGCGTGGTGCTGGGGATGAGAATCCGATGAGGGAGGGGCTGCCGGGTGCTTGTATGTGATTTTCCAGAAGCATTGTCCCCCCCCCCCCCCCTTTTTTTTTCACTTGGTTGAGAGTCGAGATGTGGCTTGAGACTGGGGTTTTTGCTGACGGTAATTCATGTCCTTTTTTCCAGCGCTTCTTGAAAGAGGTGGAGGGAGGTATCGTGATGGTGAAGGTAATGGAGATGAGGAGGATGTCAGTGAGACGAGCACATTGCTGCCCACTGCAAGTCGAGCATCACCACCACCGCCCGCCTTACAGACCGGACAACGGCATGCTGAGCATGGGATCAGCGGATACAACTACACAGACGAAGAGGAGGAGGCTCGAGGAACGGAGCTTGCGTTCCGGACCAGAGAGACTTGGCACGACATGGCGTGCAACGGGGAGACGATGTTGAGAGTGTTTATGTTGGTGGGGATGACGGCGATGGTGGTCTTTGCGGTGGCGAGGGCGCTGAGGGGGGGGTTTTCGCCGGGCGTGTTGGTGGGAGGGGGGATGATGGTGGTTTTGTGCATTGTGGTGAATAAGAGGGAGTTGAGGGGGAGGTTGATACGGGATTGACTGCGTTTTGGGGATGATCATGGCTGAGATGATGCTGTACGTGGGCTATGTAACTTCCCTTTCAGGGGGGGGAACGAGAACAGTAGATCGGTCTTACGGGGGGGGATCGGACATCATGGGTATACAAAGACGATCTACTCGAATATAGATGTAAAATCTACATTTTCTCCCATCACTCCAACCACCGCGCCTCATCAGACCCCAGCGGCTTCGGCATCTCCCCCCATCCCACCTCACACCCCTCCACAGAAGCACTATGCCGCACCGCAACCATGCTCCCAAACGCCGTCTCCCTCGTCTCGAGACACTCCCCCGGCACACGATCCTGCGTCGTCACGTCGTCTGCCACTCCTTCGAAGCCCGTCCTGCCCGGATACTGGCCCAGGCTGCGCAGGTACTTGCTGACGCCCGCGAGCGAAACGTCGACGACCCAGGAGCCGCCCTGCGTCGCGCGGCGGTGCAAGGCGGCGGAGATGCCCGTGGCGAGGAGGTAGCCCGCCGCGTGGTCGAGCGCCTGGCAGGGCAGCGCGCGGGCGGGCTCTCCGGCGGCGCCGAAGTGGGCCGCTTCGGAGACGTTGATGCCGGAGCACGTCTGGACGAGGGAGTCGAAGCCCCTGCGCCCGGCCCAGGGCCCGTGGGGCCCGAACGCGGAGAGGTTGGCGCAGACGACGTGCGGGTTGATGCGCGCCGCGTCATCGGGCGAGAGGCCGTAGGAGGCGAGGCTGCCCGGGCGGTACCCCTGGATGAAGACGTCGCAGGTGCGCAGCAGCTCGAGGAGCGTCTGCTTGTCGGCGGGGGAGTGTATGTCGAGCTGGATGGTGCGCTTGCCGCGGGAGAGGTCCCTGTCGAGGGATGGCTGGTCGGGGAGGGAGGGGGATGTGACCCAGAGGACGTCGGCGCCGTGGGCGGCGAGGGTGCGGCCTGCCACGGGGGCGGCGATGACGCGGGACAGTTCGAGGACGCGGAGACCTTTGAGACACCCTGATGGAGAAGAGGAGGAGGTGCTAGGGGGCAGAGGCTTTGGCGGTGATGATGATGATGATGATGTAGGGTCGAGGAGGAGGGGGCGGAGGACGATGGGGTAGTTGGGCGTGGCTGCGGCCTGGGGATGGGCGTCCCATTCGGCGTACGAGCGGAGGGCGTAGATGGCGAGCTTGCCCCTTTCCGTGGCGGCGGTCTCGAGGTCGACGGCTTTCCAGCGGAGGACCTTGTCGGCGACGTCCTGCCGGGTGGCGGCGGGGGGCAGGGACAGGAGGGAGAGGGTGCCGAGGGCGTGGTGGGGGAAGTTGTCGTGGATGCGGACGTGGCCGTCAGCGGTGGCGTGGAGGCCGCCGATGGAGCCCCAGGGGGATTCGGGGGGGCGGTTGTCGATGGAGTAGAGGCGTTCGGATTTGAATTCCAGGAGGGCGTGGTGCAGGGGGACGGTCACTCGGGGGATTTTTGGTGGTGGTGATGATGATGATGAGGAGGAGGAGGATGAGGAGGAGGTTGTGGTGTTTTGAGATGAAGAAGAAGAAGAAGAGGAAGATGGAGGTCGTCGGCCGCTGTGGACGAGAGCCGCTGCGAGGGCGGAGAGGGCAATGGAGCTCTGCGCGAGATGGCCGATTTTGAAGGACGACGGCGCTGCTGGGCCGGGTGTTTGTTGGTGGTGGTCGGGGAGGACGACGGAGGCGAGGGCGTGAGGGGGCAGGTGGAGGCTTGTCCAGATGTCTTTGACGATGTCGGCGGCGGAGAAGGAGGTGCGGTTGACGAGGGTGTTTGAAATGGGCATGTTGGGTGTTGGTGATGGTGGTGGTTTTTCTGTATGAGATGCTTTTGTTGGTTAGGTTAGATGAGATGCTTCATGTTGAGTCTTGCTTGAAGCGGTAGGATGAGATGAGATGAGGGTTAATGAGGTTGCGCAGTTCCTTTGGAGACGAGTATTCGGTATGAGGATTTCATTGTAAGAAGTGTAGGTCTTGGGTTAATGAGAGTTCTGTTTCGAGACGCGCCCTTTTGATGATCAGTTCTTCGGATGACGGGAACAAGAGAGTTGGGGATGGCTAAATGTGGAGTTTTGCCTTGTAAAGAGGACCGGTTTATGAAAGCTTCAGCCGCCATCAGCCGAGGCTTGTCTATCAGCAGTTGACGAATTCAGGTTTTCCCAAGTGTTCTTTGTTAATTCGTCTTCATTAAACTGCAAGTGCTAGTATCTTACTCTATCTAAGACCAAATGTCAGAAACTCGCCATGCTTTTAGTAAATGCCGTACATCCTTTCTGCGTTGTCCTGGTATCTCCTCCGCTCTATGCGTTCCTTGTATAATAACCAGACCAGTCCCATGCAATCTAAACCAAGGGAAATAAACAGATGATGATCGTAACTCGCTCTTCAAATCATCAATGCAAGAGAACCAAAAAAAAAAACCAATCAAAGAAACAAAAATCCCAAGCGGCTACCTCGCAACAGCCTCGCGCTCCGCCCTCGCCGCCTTCTCATCCGCCGTCAGCTCCGCCGCCGCCCGATCAATCTTGATCGTCAACACCATCGCCATCGACACCCCCGCCAACGCAACCCCGATCCAGAAGCCAATCTTGTACTGCTGCCTCAGGGTCAAGCCCTCCGGCAGCGCGCGCCGGTTGGCCTCGGAAACGGCCATCTCGGCGATGCCCAGCCAAAACGCCAGGCCGAGGTACAGCAGCGTGTTGATGAGCCCGCCGGCGGTGGCCTGCAGGCGGCGCGGCATGGAGGTGGTGATGAAGACGTTTGTGACGTTGTACGTGATGTCGACGCCGATGGTGCCGCAGAGCATGGCGGGGAAGATGTACGCCCAGTAGAGAAAGCTCGTGGACGGGGTGCCGTCGGCGCGGCGGTCGGGGATGAGGGCGAAGAGGAGGACTGATAACAAGAAGCCGACGCTGGAGATGAGCATGAGGATGCGGTTCGAGACCATGTGCATGACGAAGCCGCCGCCGACGGCGAGGCACACGCCGCCAATGGCTAGGGGGGTGAACCAGGCTGCCGTGAGGATGGGGCTGGTGTTGAGCACCGTTTCGATGTAGTAGCTCGAGTAGAACAGATACAGGCCAAACACGCCGTACAAGCAGAACAAGGCCAGGGACAGCCGCTTCATGTACTTTGGCCGGAACAGATCCGCCGGCACCAGCGGCTGAGCAGACACCCAGCCCTGCGTGTAGACGCCCGCAACGAGAAACAGGACGCCAATCAGGAACGTCACGTAAATGTACGGCGTCTGCCAGCCCTTGGGCGCGTGTCCCCCGTCGGTAAAGGCGAAGACGACGAGGACCAGCCCGGGAACAATCGTGCAGAGCCCCCACCAGTCCATGCGGATGCTCCCGTCCTGCTGGTGCAGGTTCCGCGGGATGGTGAGGAAGCCGGTGAAGGCGATGCAGAAGACGATGACGGTGCCGATGAAGAAGTACCAGCGCCAGGTGAGGAAGTCGGCGCAGACGGCGCCCATGAAGATGCCAAAGTAGAAGCCCAGGCAGGCAAAGGCGCCCCAGATGGCGAAGACGAGGTTCTTGCGCGGGCCAGGCCGGTACGTCTGCCCCAGGAGGGCAAGGCCGGCGGGCGTGAAGGCCGTCTCTTTTTGAGCATCATCGGGTGATTATTAAGACTGCTGGGGCCAAGGTTAGAAAGAAGGAATATAGCACACAATATCGAGAGAAAACTAAACCTAAAGGGCTGAACATAAGACAAAACAAATTACTCTTGTACACTCCCACTCTCAAGTATATTTTGGTCTGGTCTCCCTGCAAGTCGATCTGCTATCTAATACGGTAGTAGGGCCTCTCTAGTAGTGGTGGTGTGCCTCATTGGTTGAGTGAATGTCTGTAGAGTTGTTCTGCTTTGGGTTCCTTTGTTCTCTTTGGTTTGAGTCGTTGTTCTCTCCCTCTCTTCGTCTTATTTTTGGTGTTACCCGGTGCTACTTTGGGGGGGCCCGGAGCTTAGGCCGGAGCAGGAGGGGAGGCCGGCCTGGAGGAGGCTGTTGTCGGTCGTGAAGGGGCTGTTCCGGCTCTAGCTCGCGGAGCCGGCGCGGGCGGGTCGGCAGGACGGGAGGGAGCAGTGGCTCCAGAAGAAGCAGCAGTGGTAGCAGGAGAGGTACTGGTACTCGCTCATGAAGTAGCCGCCGAAGTTGTAGCAGGACGGCGGGTAGCGGCTGCGGGAGCGGTACGGGCTCCTGCACGCGTGGACCGGGCGGCCGCAGTAGTTGGAGTGGTGGCGGCGGAAGGAGTACGGGAAAAGGGCGGAGACGCTGTACATGCCGCGGGCGAGGCAGAAGGAGAAGCCGGTGCAGACCATGTACTAGACCAGGGAGCAGACGCCGAAGTCGTGTTTGTGGCAGTACGAGTAGTAGACGGCGCGGGAGGTCCCGTAGCCGTGGAGG